ATGATCCTCAGGCTCCACTCTGAGGAATGGGGTTAGCGCCCTTATGAAAGAGGCCTGAGAGACGTGTGTTGCCCCTTCTGCCATGTTGAGAATGCAGTGAGAAGGTACCATCTTTGAAGCAGAGAGTGACACCGGATATACTGGGGCCTTGATCTTGTATTTCCCAGCCACCAGAACTGTGAGCAATACATTTCTGTTGTTGGCCAGGTGCCATGGTTCACGCCTATAATCTTAGCACTTTGGGAGGCTGAGGTGGGCAGATCACAAGGTCAAGAGATTGAGACCATCCTGGCCAAGGTGGTGAAACCCCGTCTCTATTAAAAATACAAAAATTAGTCGGACGTGGTGGCATGTGCCTGTAGTCCCAGCTACTCAGGAGGCTGAGGCAGGAGAATCGCTTGAACCCAGAGGCGGAGGTTGTAGTGAGCCGAGATCGCGCCACTACATTCCAGCCTAGCGGCAGAGCGAGACTCTGTCTCAAAAATAAATAAACAAGGCCGGGCGCGGTGGCTCACGCCTGTAATCCCAGCACTTTGGGAGGCCGAGGTGGGTGGATCACGAGGTCAAGAGATCGAGACCATCCTGGTCAACACGGTGAAACCCCGTCTCTACTAAAGCTACAAAAAATTAGCTGGGCATGGTGGCGCGTGCCTGTAATCCCAGCTGCTCAGGAGGCTGAGGCAGGAGAATTGCCTGAACCCAGGAGGCGGAGGTTGCGGTGAGCCGAGATCGCGCCATTGCACTCCAGCCTGGGTAACAAGAGCGAGACTCCGTCTCAAAAACAAAAAACAAAAAACAACAAAAAAATAAATAAACAAAAAAAAATTATTTTAAATACAAAATTAACCAGGTGTGGCGGCACACACCTGTGATCCCAGCTACTTGGAAGGCTGAGGCAGGAGAATCGCTTGAACCAGTAGGCAGAGGTTGCAGTGAGCCAAGATCCCACCGTTGCACTCCAGCCTGGACAGCAAGAGTGAAACTTCATCCAAAAAAAAAGTAAATAAATAAATTTCTGTTGTTTGTAAATTTCCCAGTCTATGGTATTTTGTTATAGCAGCCCAAACTAAGACAATGATGATAGAAAATTCTGAATCTTTGAGAAGCCCTCTGGGCTGGGGATCAATTTGGAAGTCGGTACCGTGTAGTTCATAGTTGATGCGGTAGTTTGCAGAAGCCAAGGAAAGCCTATACTTTAAGAAAAAGGTTTGGAAGAGTCAATGTAAGGAAATTCAAAGTGACCCTAACTGTGGAGTTGGGAGTCAGAGAAGGAGAGAGCTAGGGTGAGAAATACAGTTAGTGCTCGACTTACGACCACGATTGGTTCCGACAGACCGGTCGTAACACGATTTGGTTGTAAGTTGAGTAGGCTGTATGTACAGTACTGTGAAATGATGTTATAAAAATCTTTAAGTCATATTTTATCATAATTTTCTTTCATTGTTGTTATATATCATGATTTTCTTTTTTTTTTTTTTTTTTTTTTTGAGACGGAGTTTCGCTTTTGTTACCCACACTGGAGTGCAATGGCGCGATCTCGGCTCACCACAACCTCCGCTTCCTGGGTTCAGGCAATTCTCCTGCCTCAGCCTCCCCATATATCATGATTTTCTTTGTTCATTTTATGCCATTTGTATCATCTCTACACCATTTTGTTTCTTATTTTTACATTTGTCAGGTTTAAGTAAAACACTGCATTACCAGTACAACTGGTTTAACTTACAAAATTACAAAATACAGGTGCATACAAAAATACAAAATACAGGTGTAAAAAATACCATAGGAAACATTTTCCCAATTGCAAAACATATCAAGCTATATAAACACATACGAAACATTTTATTGGCCGCTGGTGCTTGGCTGCGGATCGTTGATGTAGTCGCCTGAGGCAGCAGTCGGAGTTACCGGAGCTGGGTTTTTCATAAACATGGTGAGTTTTGTCTGAATTGTATGTTTCTTTTTTTCTTCATAAATTTCACAATACGGACGAAACACACCGTGCGCCATCTGTTCAATCCTTGCAAATCGTTCGATGTTTGGGTCCATTGCTTCGAAATGTATAAGAAGTTTATTGGGAGGGGTTTGATGAAAAACATCCAAGACACAAAACACAAATTGCTGTACCGAGTCTGGGATAACAGTTGAAATGGTGCACGCGGAGATGGTAGTGCTGCCGGAAGCTGGTCCGCACTGTCGTACGCCCAGCTGGGCAACGTTTGCACTGCCAGACGCGGAGCAGTCGTGGCTAGCGATTGTGGTCGTAAAGTCGAATGGCCGTTAGTTGCACAGGTCGTAAGTCGATCAATACCTGTAGTGAAAATTAGAAAAGTTTTTCTAAGCCCCTGACACTACTGAGTGGTGATTGATTATTGATAACAGCAGAGATTTCCGTTCTTGCCCAAATTGCCGCTAGTGTGTTGGGGAAGAAAAGATACACAAACAGCAGCTGACTAGAATGTCAATTTCTTTTTTTATTTTTATTTTTTGAGACAGAGTTTTGCTCTTGTCGCCCAGGCTGGAGCATGGTGGCATGATCTTGGCTCACTGTAACCTCCACCTCCAGGGTTCAAACAATTCCCCTGCCTCAGCCGCCCAAGTAGCTGGGATCACAGGCACCCGCCACCACGCCTGGCTAATTTTTGTTTTTTTGGTTTTTTTGCAGGGAGTGGGGATGGAGTCTCACTCTTTCACCTAGGCCGAAGTGCAATGGCGTGGTCTATGCTCATTGCAACCTCCGCCTCCTGGGTTCAAGCGATTCTCATGCCTCAGCCTCTGAGTAGCTGGGATTACAGACATGCACCACAGGCCTGTCTAATTTTCGCATTTTTAGTAGAGATGGGGTTTCACCGTGTTGGTCAGGCTAGTCTTGAACTCCTGACCTCAGGTGATCCACCCACCTTGGCTTCCCAAAGTGCTGGCATTACAGGCATGAGCCACCGCGCCCAGCCTAATTTTTGTATTCTTAGTAGAGTCAGGGTTTCACCATGTTGACCAGGCTCGTCTCTGACCTCAGGTGATCCACCTGCCTCAGCCTCCCAAAGTGCTGGGATTACAAGCGTGAGGCACTGCGCCCAATAGAAAGCCAGTTTCTAAATGTATGTTGCAGAGTCCATGTTGGTTACAGAAAGAGTCAAGCAAGAGAAAAGTATGGCCTCTTTAGGACTAGTAGGTAAGTGCAGGCTTGAGCCAGAAGGGAAAGGGCTTTGCAGGTAGGAGCGGGCAGGCAGCAACGTCACGTGTCAGAGATAGTGTCAAGGGGACAGGCCAGAAGGAATGTCAGCTGAGCTGGGGAGACATCGCTGGGTATGATCCAGTGCTACAGCCTGTCTCTCCCTGTGCCTGCCTCCTCTCACACAGCCCCCTCTTCTGTCCTGGCGTCTCAGCATGAAGATCCCCCCAGCCACATGCTCATGTTCCTTCATGTCACTTTCCTCCATTCAGCACCCCCCCACACCCTCCACCACTTGATGTCCTCCCAACCCTACTCCCAGACACAGTAACCTACATTTGCTTCCTACACCCACTTCTGTGTGTTGCCTTCTGTCTCTTCCACTGAAAGTGTTTTCCCCAAGGTCCTCAGTGACTTCCTCAGCTTTGGGAGACCCCTCTGAGTCCTCTTCTGCGGCATTTGGTGCTGTTAATTATCCCTTCTGTGACTTTTCTTCGGTGGACATACAGATTGGGAGATGGCACCACACAGCGGGGAAGTGGAGGTGAGGACCTGGGGTGTGTGGGAGGTGGCCAGCCTCCAACCTGGAGGGGGAGCTGGAGGGGGGTGGCCTTCGAACTGCGAGGAGGAAGGCCCTAAAGCCAGAGGAGATCGGGATGTCAAGAGGCTACGTCAGAAGAAGCAGAGAAGGCACTCACGCTTCCCCTGCAGAGGCTGTTGGCCCTCTTTATGAGAGGCTGGTGAGGACAGAGCTCAAGAAGTGGGTTGGAAAGTGAAGTGGGGACAAGGAAGCAGCAGCACATCCCTGCACAATTTAGGGAAGAAGTTCTGCCGGGAAGAGGAACAGAGGTGGGGGACCTTTAGAGGAGTTCAGAAGCTCTTGTGTTTTTTTCAAGATGAGCTCTCCTAAAGTATGCTTGTTCGCTGGTAGAGGAGAAAGGATGATCCGACAGTCAGAGGGGAGATGGGGTTCAGAACACAAATGAGTGACCATTTTTTGCCCCCTTAGGGTGAAGGCAGAGGTGACAGGCATTGCTATACAGAGCTTGTAGTTTTGATGGTGGGAATAAAGTCTCTGGCTTCCCTTCCGAGTGAAGTAGGAACCTCAGATATCAGCTAATAGGACCCAGCCCTGGGTCTGAGGGCAGCAGCAAGGATATTGAGAAGAGAGAAGGTTTGAAGTATGCTTACGGGAAGGCTAACCGTGTGACCTGGCCGCGTGCTTGCAGCACCTCTCGCTGTCTGTGGTGGTGCCATGTAAAGTAAAACCCCCTGTCCAGTGGTGGGGCTGTTAATGGGGCTCAGCTGCAGGCATGTGGAAGGCGGACCGCTGATTTTGTTACGGGTGGAAGGTATCTGAGTTACCAGCAGCAAATCTGTACGAGTTCGCAGCAGCCACACCTCTTGCCTCAATAATTCGACTGAGTGGCACGAGGCAGAAAAAGAGGCTGAGGCAAGTTTCAGATCAGGAGTGGCAGTTCATTAAGAAGCTTTGGAACAGGAAAGAAAGGAGATCCAAGTGGGCACTGAGGTCCAGTGCAGTGTTTAACCTTGATTGTAGGCCATGCTAGGACATTCCAGGGTCAAGGCTGGCGCCTTGCCCATGATTCCTCCTTAGGGTGAGCTGCCTGCATGCACAGTGCACTCCTTACCCTTGGGAGGTGAGCACACATAGTGTGTGTAGGAAGTTGTACGGGTGCCCTTCTAAGGCCTTCTTCCCTGTTCTGGTGATGTTCCCCTGGGAGGTCATGTGCTGCCATTTGGTCTCTTAATGTGCATGCCCAGGAAGTGGCATCTCCCTGGTGTCTGCATTCATTGAACACTTTAGTGCATCAGGTGTGGACCATCAGGAAATGACCTCTCTCTGGTACCAGCTGCCAATTTATCACTTTTAGAGAGGCAATGTGGTAATTGCCAAACCATCACCCAACTTTCCTAGTGTGTAGGGGAGAGCCCTCTCCTGCTCTGCTCGTGCCTGTCTAACTCTCTTATAACAGTTTCAGCCAAGATTCCTGCTTTAGCAGGAGAGAATAACCCTTTCTGTGCCAATCCACACCTTCCTTGTCTCTCCACTGAGCTTGAATCTTCTGTCCACACCTTCACTTTCTTTGTTCTGGCTCACTGGGGCTCTTTCCCTTTTCCTCACTTAGCAGATAATCTCTAGCCTCATCAGTTCCCAAGACTTTAGCAACAGCCTGCATGCTGATCATTCTCAGATTTATCCACTCCCAATCTTTGATCTAAACTCCAGTTTTATTCTTTTGTGTGGTTTTAGCTAATGCAGCTAGGGAGGCTAAAGCAACTTCATCCTGGATGCTAATGCATCGTGTTGACTTCTGATTAATTCCAGTTCTGGGAAGGACTCCAAGATTTCCAGTTTGTCTCTTGTTCCTTGTGGTCAATAAATCTTTACCGTAAATCCTGCCTGGGGTCATATAGCCTTGATGTTATCATACTTCAATTGTCTGGTGCGGCCCTTCCGAACCACCCCTTGCCTGCGGTATACAAGCCCTGAGGGTAGTGGCACCAGGATCCACCATCTGGTCAAGACACAGATGTAGCTTCTGTTCCTAGGTCTCTAAATGTTTCTAAGGGAATATGTTCTTCTCTAGATGACGGTGCGTTATGTAAAGCTGTGGTAGTAAAAAGTGTCATACATGTGAGACAACATAGATCAATATCACAAGCAACCAAAAGAAACAGAAACTGGACTTGATAAAAATTAAAACCATGTGCTTCTAAGGACACAACTCAATAATAAGACAACTGGCCAGACGCGGTAGCTCACACCTATAATCCTGGCACTTCGGGAAGCCAAGGTGGGCAGATCACCTGAGGTCAAGAGTTTGAGATCAGCTTGGCCAACATGGTGAAACCCCATCTCTACTTAAAAAAAAGAAAAGAAAAAGAAAAAAGAAAACATGCGCATACAAAAACTTGCATGAGGCTTATAGCAGCATGATTCATAATAGCCAAAAAAATGTACTTAACCTGATGTCCATCAGTTCATGAATTGATTTGTAAAATGTGTTATAGCAAAACAATGGAATATTAGTTAGTAATAAAAAGCAAGTGTAGGCCTGGCATGGTGGCTCATGCCTGTAATCCCAGCACTTTGGGAGGCTGAGGTGGGTGGATCATCCAAGGTCAGGAGTTCAAGACCAGCCTGGCTAACATGGCAAAACACTGTCTCTACTGAAAATACAAAAATTAGCCAGGCATGGTGGCACACATGTGTAGTCCCAGCTACTCAGGAGGTTGAGACAGGAGAAGGACTTGAGCTGAGAGTCAGAGGTGGTAGTGAGCTGAGATCGCGCCACTGTCCTCCAACCTGGGCGACAGACCGAGACGCCGTCTCATAAAAAAAAATAAAGTGCAGACTATGCAAATCAAAAGAGACAGAAAGTAAGAAAGTAAATAATATTTGCCTGGAGATGGGTGGCCATGTACCACGTGTTTAAAGTGTGCAACTCGTTGGTTTTTAGTATATTCAGAATTTGGCAACCATCAGCACAATTTTAGAACATTTTCATCACCTGGCCAAAAAAAAAAAAAATACCCATTAACTGTCACTGTCTTTTCCCCTGACCCTTCCCACCCAGCTTCCAATGGATTTTGGCTATTCTGGATATTTCATGTAAATGGAAACATATAATATGTGGTCTTCCATGACTGCAGCTTCTTTCACTTAGCATAATGTTTTCAACATTCATTCATGTCATAGCATGTCTCACTACATCTTTTCTTTTTACTAGCAAGTAATAGTCCACCCTATGGATATCACACTTTATGTATTCATACAGTTTCTCTACATCCTTCCCAACTCTTGTCTCTTTTTTATTGTAGGTGTGAAGTGGTGTCTTTGGTGGTTTTGACTTGCATTTCCCAATGGCTAATGATACAGAGCATCTTGTCATGTGTTTGGTGGTCATTTGTATGTCTTTTTTGGAGAACTGTCTATTCAGATCATTTTTGTATGTGGGCTGAGGTAGGGAACCAGATGCATTCTTTTACATGTGGATATTCAGTTGTCCCAGTAACATTTGTTGAAAAGATTATTCTTTTCCCACTAATTTGTCTGGACGCCGTTGTTGAAAATTATTCGGCCGTTTTGGTCTCTCAGTTCTGTTCCATTGAACTAGATGTCTGTCTTTATGCCAGTACCACGCCATCTTGATTATTGTAGCCCTTTTTTTTTTTTTTTTAAGTTAAAACATCTATAAAGTGGAAGTGGGGGCCTCGCTATGTTGCCCAGGCTTGTCTGGACCTCTGGTTGCAAGCGATCCTTCTGTCTCAGCCTCCCAAAGTGCTGGGATTGGAGGCGTGAGCCTCTGGGCCTGGCCACAATTGATTTTTGTTTATTGATCTTGTATCCTGCAACTTTGCAATTAGATCTAACTTTGTTCTTAGTCCTAATCGTTGTTTAGTGGATTCCTTAGGGTTTTTTGTATACAAGGTCATGTCACGTGCAAATGGAAATAGCTGTACTTCTTCCCTTCCCATCTGGATGCCTTTCAGTTCATCTTATTGCCTCATTGCCTTGGCCTGTGCCTCTAGGACAGTGTTGACTAGAAATGACAGGGACCTACGCTCGTCTTGTTCCTGACTTAGGAGAAAGCTTTTAGCCTTTCACCTTTAAGTCTGATGTTAGTTGTGTGTTTTTCATAGATGCGCTTCATCAGGCTGAGGAAGTTCCCCTCTATTCCTAGTTTGTATGTTATTATACTTTTAAATAACTGCAGCAGAGCCTATAAGAAGATACAAATAAATACATGGGGAGAGGTTCACAGTTTGTTAAGTGAGGGGAAGAGTTTACTCCATTCAGTGTGAATCTGATCTCTGTGGGTAGGAGGATGTGTTAGTTGAACAATTTTTTTTTTTTTTTTTTTTTTTTGAGATGGAGCCACGCTCGGTCACCCAGGCTGGAGTACAGTGACACGATCTAGGCTCACTGTAACCTCCGCCTCCTGGGTTCAAGCAATTCTGCCTCAGCCTCCCAGGTAGCTGGGATTATAGGCACATGCCACCATGCCCAGCTAATTTTTGTATTTTTAGTAGAGACAGGGTTTCACCATATTGGCTAGGCTGGCCTGGAATTCCTGACCTTGTGATCTGCCCGCCTCTGCCTCCCAAAGTGCTGGGATTACAGGCACGAGCCACCACACCCAGCTGAACAACCTTTTTTTAAACAATAAAAATAGAGACAGGATCTTGCTATATTGCCCAGGCTAGTCTTGAGCTCCTGGACTCAAACTATCCTCCTACCTTTGCCTCCTAAAGTGCTGGGATTACAGGTTTGAGTCACTGCACCCAGACTGAATAAACTTTGTAAGATGTAGGCTATTGTATAAAATTTCAGCACCCTAAAAAAACTCCCCTTATTTTATCTTTATGCCTTTATCTTTAGGCATATGCCCATTTTCACCTAGTTATACTTTTGGTTACTTTTGGTTGTCTTTTTACTCTTGTTCTAATTATCTTTTTTTTTTTTTTTTTTTTTTTTTTTTGAGACAGTCTCGCTCTGTCACCAGGTGCCAGGCTGGAGTGCAATGCATGGTCTCGGCTCACTGCAACCTCCACCTCCTGGGTTCAAGCAATTCTCCTCAGCCTCAGCCTCCTGAGTAGCTGGGACTACGCGCCACCACGCCCCGCTAATTTTTGTATTTTTAGTAGAGACGGGGTTTCACCATGTTGGCCAGGATGGTCTCGATCTCTTGACCTTGTGATCCGCCCGCCTTGGCCTCCCAAAGTGCTGGGATTACAGGCATGTGACTCTCCCAGCTGGTTAGGTGGATGCCGGCAGTACTTGGGATCCCTTGGTTTGCAGCAGTCCAAGTCCCATCTCTGCCTCTGTCCCCACCTGGCTGTGTGTCTGGATTAAGGGCACACCCTATTCTACTATGACCTCATCTTAGTGACATCTTAAATACTTCTGTAAAGATCCTAATTCCCAGCAAGGCTACATTCCAGGTACCTTGGTTAGGACTACAGTGTATCTTATTATTATTATTATTGTTTAAAGAGATAGGGTGTCACTCTTGTCATGTAGGCTGGAGTGCAATAGCTCACTGCAGCCTCGACTTCCTAGGCCCTAGTGATCCACTCACCTCAGCTTCTCAGATAGCTGGGACTACAGATGTGTGCCACCTTGCTGGGCTACGTTTTTAATTTTTTTTGGTAAAGACAGGGTCTCACTATGTTGCCCAGGGTGGTCTTGAACTCCTGGCCCCAAGCAGTCTGCCCGCCTTGGCCTCCCAAAGTTCTGGGATTACAGGTGTGAGCCTCCCAGCCGAATGTATCTTTTGAAAGGGCACAGTTCAGCCCACAGCAGCCACTAACAGAATTCTCTTCTGTTGTCACTCCCCCACCAGGCACCCCTGTAGACAATGGCCCTTGTGTCTGCCGATTCCCGAATTGCAGAACTTCTTACAGAACTCCATCAGCTGATCAAGCAAACCCAGGTAAAAAGTCACCACCCTTCACTCTCAGATGGGAACACAGGCTTTGATGCACTGAGCTGTGAAGTGGGGGTAGCATTTGTGTTCAGAGAGATTGGACATGCAGGAACCAAGATGATGTCATAAAGGTGAGAGGAGGGGAATTTGGGGTATGGCTGTAATTCCTCTTGGATTTTCTCCATGTACAGGATTTCATGATTGATTTTAACAGCTATCCTGAGTTAGAATTCACATGCCATACAATGCATCCATTTAAAGTGTATATAATCCAGTGGTTTTTCGCAACTCACAGAGTTGTGCAATCATTACCATGATCAATTTCAGAACATTTTTAGCACCCAACAAAAATACCCCATATCTTTTCCTTCTACCTCATTAATCCAGGCAAACAAAAACACATTTTTTTTTTTTTTGAGACAGAATCTCACTGTGTCATCCAGGCTGGAGTGCAGTGGCATGATCTTGGCTCACTGCACCCTCCGCCTCCTGGGTTTAAGCAATTCTCCTACATCAGCCTCCCGAGTAGCTGGGCTTACAGGCACACACCACCACGTCCAGCTAATTGTTTTTGTGTTTTTAGTAGAGACAGGGTTTCACCATGTTGGCTATCTCTACTAAAAATATAAAAATTAGCCAGGTAGGGTGGCTGGTGCCTGTAATTCCCAGCCACTCAGGAGGCTGAGACAGGAGAATGACTTGAACCTGGGAGGCAAAGGTTGCAGTAAGCCAAGATCGTACCACTGCACTCTAGCCTGGGCGACAAGAGTGAAACTCCATCTCAAAAAATGAATGAATGAATGAATGAATGAAAAAAAGATACTGGCAGATTATGCATTCCATTCGGTCATCCACAGTTAGACCTGTTTATCATCATCCCATATAACCAGGGTGTCCCTCAGACGGCTGCCATCTCACCTGTCAACTTTTAAAAGTAGGCATGGTCCTGACAAGATGCACGGCTTCGCCCTTTCAGGCACCCATGTAACTGATCTAAGAGATGGCATTCTCTTACTCTGAGCCTCTCTTGAAGTATGACTACAATAGTGTATTTTCCTCATTGCATAACCCATTTAATTTGTTCTGTTAATTTGGCTACTATTTCTCCTCTCCATTTGTGATTGGTTTTCACCCAAACTTTTCCACCTTTGGAAGGGATGTTAGCGCCAGGTGCGGTGGCGTGTGCCTGTAGTCCCAGCTACTCGGGAGGCTGAGGGGGGAAGATCGCTTGAGCCCAGGACTTCTGGGCTGGACTGCTTTATGCCCATCAAGTGTCTGCACTAAATTTGGCATCAATATGGTGACCTCCCGGGAGTCAGCGTCCACCAGGTTGCCTAAGGAGAGGTGAACTGGCCCAGGTTGGAAATGGAGCAGGTCAAAACTCCCATGCTGATCAGTAGTGGGATTGTGCTTGTGAATAGCCACTGCACTCCAGCCTGGGCAACTGAGCAAGACTCTGTCTCTTTAAAAAAAAAAAAAAAAAAGGAAGGGATGTTAGCTTGGGCCACTGTGCTGGTCCAGATTGCAGCAGCAGCAGTACTAGTCTAGCAAGTATCTCCCCAACCCCAGTCCATTCCTGTTCATATAGGGTGGGGTCACACAGGTACACACTATCAGGTGTCTCGAGCACTGGGCAGCCATGTTCACTGTTAACCCTATTTTGCAGGTTGAGGTAAAGGCACAACCCACCTGTTAGGCACTTAAAAATTCTCACATAAAGGCTACAAAGCATAGTCATAATTTTTTGCTTAGGTGCCGTCCTGATTTCCAGCATCTGCAGTTGCAGCTCTCATCCCAGGACCACTGATATGGGAGGAATTGCAGCAGCGTTCTCCCCTGCCCCTTCTTCCCTGCATCAATTGATCATACCTGTATATGTCAGTTTCTAGACTCTGGAACCTGTTCTATTAATGTATATGCCAGTATCACACCGTCGTGATTACTGTAGCTTTGCAGTAAATTTTGAAAATGGGAAGTGTGAGTTCTCCAACTTTTTTTTTTTTCTCAAGATTGCTTGGGTATAATTTGGGTCCCTTGAATTTCCATATGAATTTTAGGATGAAGTTGTCAATTTCTGCAAAGAAGTCAACTAGAATTTTCATGGGGATTGCACTGACTGTATAGATTGATTTGTCTCTTTGATAAAGTACTATCATTAAAGATATCACTTAAGATAAAACTTTAATGCCTTTTTTTTTTTTTTTTGGAGACAGTCTTGCTTTGTCGCCAGGTGCCAGGCTGGAGTGCAGTGGCGCAGTCTTGGCTCACTGCAACCTCCGCCTCACAGGTTCAAGCAATTCTCCTGCCTCAGCTTCCTGGGTAGCTGGGACTACAGGCGCATGCCACCATGCCCAGCTAATTTTTTTATTTTTAGTAGAGATGGGGTGTCACCATGTTGGCCAGGATCGTCTTGAACTCATGACCTGAAAGTGATTTGCCCACTTTGGCCTTTCAAAGTGCTGGGATTATAGGCATGAGCCATTGCACCGGGCCCTTTAATGCCTTTTTAATGCTTTTGCATTAGTCAAAGGAGAAAATCATCTTGAACTTCTCCTGAATTTGGATTTAGGAAATGAGGGTCATGTTTTTGGGATGGGGCCTCTGGCCTGGCTCATAGGGTGCCATAGCAGCAGGGAGGGCCTCTGTCACGTCCTGCTGCTCTCCTCCTTACAGGAAGAGCGTTCGCGGAGTGAACACAACTTAGTGAACATCCAGAAGACCCACGAGCGGATGCAGACAGAGAACAAGAGTGAGTAGCTGGGCCCAGGAGAGGAAGGGAATGAGATGGGGGTGAGGTGGGTGGGTGTGGCCAAGCTTGGAATTAGGTGGATATTGTATTCAAAGTTGATTTGCATGTATCTGCATATTCAGAAATGCACTGCCCCTGAGGCAGGAGGGACAGCTTTCCCTTAGTCTGGGTGACCTGAAGAACTAAAATCCCTCCACTCTGAGGACTAGAAAGGCAGTGCAATGACACTACGTCCAGGGAAAGTTCCCCTTAGAGTGTACAAGCACCCTAGTTAGCTAGTGTTTTCTAGAACAGAGCTTCCTTCCCAGGTGGCCGCTCCATGTGCCCTGAGGCCTCTTAGGAGGTCAGACCCTGGGGCTGGGGCTTTCCTACTCTGGGTAACTCTGAGAATTGTGGTTTCCTGTGTCTTAACAAATATTTTCTGTGTGTGTCATGATGGGGAGAAGGTAAGACAATCCTCTCGCAGATGTAGTGATGGCATTTGTACCATATGGAAATGCGGACTCTTGGAGCCTGGGGTATCCGCCTTGGGAGCACTCCTGAGCCAGCAGAGCTCTGACTGTGGCCACAGCCTCTCTGTGCCTCCGCAAGTGTGACTCCGGTGCACGGAAGCAGCGCCACACTACTGCGCCTACCCTGGCCCTGCCTCCTTTTATTCCTCTGTTTCCTCTGCAGTTTCTCCCTATTACCGGACAAAGCTGCGTGGCCTCTACACAACCGCCAAGGCCGATGCAGAGGCTGAATGCAAGTGAGTGCACCCACCCCGCCGCTCCTCCCTCCTCACCTGGACACTGGGCTGCAGGCGCATTTGGACCAAGCCCCCAGCCTGCTTTCCTCCCATGGATAAGCCGATTCCTACTCCGAGCCTCTCCCTTGGGTCCCACCTTCCCTGGAGCCCACTGCTAGGCCCACTCTTTTTGTTACCTCTGCTGCTAACGTCTTTACAGAAGGCAGCAAGGTGTGAGTCAGCACTGCCATTTACTGGTTCTGTGACCTTGGCAGTCACTTTGGCTGAGATTCAGTCATTAAAATAGGGATATCAGGGACTGGGTAGCTCAGATCTGTAATCACAGCATTACAGAAGTGATTGGGAGGCCGAGGTTAGAGGATCACTTGAGTCCAAGTGTTCAAGACCAGCCTGGGCAACAAAATGAGACTTTGTCTTTACAAAAAATTTTAAAATTAGCTGAGCATGGTGGCATGTGTCTGTAAGGTTGGCTGGAAGGTCAACTCAGATGACCTGAAGGTTTTATGGTTCTGAGATGAAGAAGTTTCAGTTCCAGAAAACTGCTGCTTTTAAAATGATCTTAAGGCCAGGCGCAGTGGCTCATGCCTGCAATCTCAAGGTGGGCAGATCACCTGAGGTCGGGGGTTCAAGACCAGCCTGGCTAACATGGCTAAATCCCGTCTCTACTAAAAATACAAAAATTAGCCAGGTGTGGTGGCACATGGCTGTAATCCCAGCCACTCGGGAGGCTGAGGCAGGAGAATTGCTTGAACCCGGGAGTTGGAGGTTGCAGTGAGCCAAGGTCGTGCCACTGCACTTCAGGCTGGGCGACAGAGCAAGACTCCATCTCAAAAAATAAAAATAAAAAATAAAATGATCTAAAACCATTGTTTTCTTGAATCTCTATAGTGCAACAGCTGTAACTTTAGGAACTTGAACATTACATTCTTCTCCTTGGAGAACACAGTGGTTCTCAAGTCTGTCTGTACCAGAGGCTCTGTTTATTTGGGGTGGAGCTCCAACACTGGTATTAACGGTCTGACATTTCCTCACTAGTAGGATTCAGGGTTTACACTTTTGACACAGAAGAAATGTCCTTGGTGAGTTATATTAGACATCAGAAGATACTACCTGTTACACTGGTTAAAGTGGTCTTTTCTACATTTCTCCTGTATCAGATTGCTGCTATTTTCCCTTGTGTGATTGATTGATTGATTAAGACAGTATCTCACTCTGTTGTCCAGGCTGGAGTGGAGTGGCATCATCATGGCTCACTGCAGCCTCAAACTCCTGGGCTCAAGTGATCCTCCTGCCTCAACCTCCTGAGTAGCTGGGATTACAGGCAGAACACACCAGGCCCAGCTAATTTTTTTTATTTTTTGTAGGGATAGGGTTTGGCCATGTTGGCCAAGCTGGTCTCCAACTCCTCATCTCAAGTGATCCTCCTGCCTCCACCTCCCAAAGTGCTGGGATTACAGGCATAAGCCACCGCACGCAGGCCTACTATGGAAATATTCTTTGGGAATCTGAGATTTAGGATGAAGAAGCCTGCCTCCAGCAAAGCTCTGTGTTTGCTGCTTCTGCTGGGTTCCTTGGGTTCCTGCCACCCTGGAATCCCCATAAACTAACTTCACAGAAGGCTTCCTGGGGTTGTAAGGCCATGCAGGGGTACATCCTTCAGAAAGGAAGAGTTCCTTCCACCCAGCCCTGCTCTGAGTCAGCACCTCTCCCCAGAGTCTCCCCTCGTTTTTCGTGACCCCTGGGCAGACCTGAGGCCCCTGTCCTCCTCATCTCAGGAGGTGGGGAGAGGCTGCCAGAACAGAGCAGCCCTTCTGCAGGTTTGCCAAAGGCACTCACCTGTATCCTTTCCTCTCTGGGATCCTGTGTTCGCTTAGTTTTTGGCCAGCTGCTTCCTACAGTCTTGTTTTTTATGCTTTTAAGACTAAAAAACACATATTGAAGATTTCTAGTTTTCTTTTCTTTTTTTATTTGTTTTTTTTTGTTTGTTTTTGAAATGGAGTTTTGTTCTTGTTGCCCAGACTTGAGTGCAATGACGCGATCTCAGCTCACTGCAACCTCTGCCTCCTGGGTTCAAGTGATTCTCCTGCCTCAGCCTCCTGAGTAGGTGGGATTATAGGCGCCCACCAGCATGCCCTGCTAATTTTTGTATTTTTAGTAGAGATGGGGTTTTGCCATGTTGCTCAGGCTGGTCTTAAATTCCTGACTTGAGGTGATCACCCACTTCGGCCTCCCAAAGTGCTGGGATTACAGGCAGGTGCCACCGCCCCCGGCCGGGTTTCTAGTGTTCACCAGTGGGGTTGATCCAAATAATCCAGCCCTCCTTGACCAGAACAGGAAGCTGCATACACCTGTATTTGACCTGTGCAGGAGGCTCCTGGGGGAACCGCTAGAGACCAAGACTAGCCAGGGCCATGTAGCGAGAAAAACAAAAAAACGGAAAAGAAGTCTATGCTACGTGCTTCAACCAAACCCTGTTTCTCCCTTCTCCCTGCCCTCAGCATCCTACGGAAAGCTCTGGACAAGATTGCCGAAATCAAGTCTCTGTTGGAGGAGAGGCGGATTGGTGAGTGGGAGAGGACGTGCTGGGAGGTCCTTGGCTAGGAGGAGGGAGGCCCTTCAGGCAGCGGTCACCCTCCCGTGGAGGCCTGCGGCCACCGCCTACTCAGATCCTCCCATGGAGGCTCTGGCAGACTGGCTCTGCCCCTGAGAAGGGACAGGAGATCATTCTCAGTGCTCAGAAGCAGGGGTTTCCCAGTTGTTCCTCAGCAGCCAGAGGTCATCCTGTGCCCGCTTCTCGTCTCCTGCCCCTTCTGGGGCCTAGGCCAGTGGCCTACTCCTTCCTACCACAGCCCATGCCCATCTCTTGCCCTGGCTGGTTTCTGCAGAACCACACGCTGTGTCTTAAAGCCTGCCTTCCACACCCCTTCAGCCTGCATTTCCTTGGCTCTCCTACTGTTCTGCCCTCCCAGCAAACCCACGGTGGGCAGACTCTTGGCACGTCAGTGTCCCCATGTGGCCATCCTGGTTCTGTGTGAAGTTGAGGTGTGCAGCCGTGTCTGAAGAGGTCCAAGGCGCACACTTAATATTTTTTTTAACTTTCTGTTGAGTTACAACATATATTAATAGAAGAAAAGTACACATAAGTACAGAGTTCCATGAAATATTCACTAACTGAACACACTCCTGTAACCACCATTCAGATCAGCAAACAGCCTGACCAGCAGCTTGGAACCCCACTTTCTTCTTGGTTTCTCCCACTGGGTGCCTGCTGTGCTGCCATCTCACCCATCTGTAGTTGAGCACAGCAGTCCCTATGAGTATTAACACCTGGCTGATGGAGTGAGGGTCCTGCTGGGCCCTCGGGCTCACTCAGGAGCTGGGGCTCCTAGTGACTTCTCCAACAGCTGGGTACAGGGCGCTAGAGGGGGTTAAAGCCAGCACCTGTCCTTGTGACCTCAGGGCTTCCTTCCTTCCCGCAGCGGCCAAGATCGCGGGTCTCTACAATGACTCAGAGCCGCCCCGGAAGACCATGCGCAGAGGGGTGCTGATGACCCTGCTGCAGCAGTCGGCCATGACCCTGCCCCTGTGGATCGGGAAGCCTGGTGACAAGTGAGGCAGCAGCTGCAAGGGAGGGGCTGGTGCCCAGGGGCTGGGACTGATTCTTAGTTTCACTCACAGGCCCCCACCCCTCTGTGGGGCCATCCCTGCTTCAGGGGACTATGTGGCCAGACCTGGAGACAAGGTGGCTGCCCGGGTGAAGGCTGTGGATGGGGACGAGCAGTGGATCCTGGCCGAGGTGGTCAGTTACAGCCACGCCACCAACAAGTGAGTGACCCCAGCCCCAGGGCCGCTCTTTTGTCACAGTACCTGCCTGGGCTGCCCCCACCCTCCTCACTCCCTGACAGGGACCACGACCCTGGCTGCATCCAGTGTTTTCATCCTTTTGTCTGCAGGTATGAAGTAGATGACATCGATGAAGAAGGCAAAGAGTGAGTGTCCAGGCCAGGGCAGGGCACAGAGCCTGGGGGGTAACATAACAGCTGGGAAGGAGCATCCCCACCTGGCCACAGGTTGACACTAGTCTCTCCACCCCCAGGAGACACACCCTGAGCCGGCGCAGGGTCATCCCGCTGCCCCAGTGGAAGGCCAACCCCGAGACAGACCCCGAGGCCTTGTTCCAGAAGGAGCAGCTTGTGCTGGCCCTGTATCCCCAGACCACCTGCTTCTACCGGGCCCTGATCCACGCGCCCCCACAGCGGGTAAAGCAGCCTCCAGTGAAGAGGCCATGGGTGATGTCAGAAACAGGCTGATAAGACAGGCTGGGGGTCCATTCCCTGCTCCCTCCCCCTTGTCTTCATCTCACAGCCCCCAAGCTGACAGGACCCACCAGCTGCCCTCCCTCTTCCACTCCAGCCCCAAAGGCGACTGTCCCCTTGCCAGCCCTGGCAGCCTTTGCAAGCCCCGAATCAGTGGCTTCCCTTCAGCAACCCCAGGAGAAGCAGCTGCGAGATGGAACACTCCTGCCCTGAGCCCCAAGCTCCTGCCCCCTCGTGCTCCTGGTGACATGGGACACAAGCCACCTGAGGCCAGGATCCCTGCCTGCCACCCTCTGGGTTTCCTTCAGTCCTCTGAACACAGAGTCCCCAAAAGGCAGCAGACCCTCCAGCTATGGCCCTACTGGGAAGGGAGCGAGTTCCCTTCCTCTCCCTGCCTTTTCCCTGCCCTGGGCCTCCCGCCACTGAGAAAAGAGCTCTGTAGCAGCAGGAACTGGGCCGAGACTTCCTGACCCCAGAGTGAACAATGACAAGATTGGCTGAGAGT